AAATCTGACGTGGGATCTGACAGCGAGTCCAGGTCTTCGTCCTCTCTCTAATCTCACTTCCTCCCAGAGCTGCACATTATTTGTGTTGCTTCACATCAGCAGTGGAGATCAACAGGAGGTAAACAAGCTCTCGGAGTTTCCCTTTTCGTGCCAAGATCTGCAGCCTCCAAACCCTGAAGGTCCAGTCAGGGCGGAGGTCGGAGGTCGCAGCCTCTTATTTAGCTATTTCTGAACTGTCTTTGAGGTAGACGGCACATATCAGAACAGTGAAAACCACGGTACACCTCCAGATGTTTGACTGACAGATAGAGTTACTGTGAGGAACCGAACAGTTCCAGCCGACTGTGAATTAAAAAAGAGCACTTCAAATGGGAAAAAGTGGAACCAATCACATGTGATTATCTTTTACATGTCACTGTGGGTGTGGTGGTGGGTACGGTGGGGGAGGAGGGCTGATAAGACAAAAGGATTCTTAAAATGTTGGTTCAACAGAACGCAGACGAGCGAACAGCTGGCACTGAGTGGAGGAGAAGAAAGAAGAAAGAATCTCTGGGCCCAGGAGGAGTTATAAAATGGAAATGTGTGGAACACATGAGGAGAACAGCTGTGTTCCATCCTTCACTCTTCCTCTCGGTTCCTCTGTTCTGTCCGACCTAACACGGATGTCACCTCGGAGATCGTCCCTGACGACTGACGTGGCCTCGGAGTCTCTGACGACTGGATCCTCGGTCTGCGTCAGGGTAACGCTCAACAGATCTGATCAATCACTGGGGATTAAATACAATTAACCACGAATAATCTGGATAATTCTGCATTAATCACGATTAACAGTTGTCATAGTTAATCATGACTAATCGTGATTAATCAGGATAATTCGGCCTTCAGAAGTATGACCAAAAAAACAAAAACAAAAATCTTGAAAGATCGACATCAGCAAGTGGACTGAGCAGAACCACAGAACCGCTGCACGAAAACAAACTTCGGTTTGACTTCGTACACAAACAGACAAAACAACAGTGAAGTCAACAGATCCATTATCCTGACCAGGACACAAGACTGCTGCCCTGAAAACAAACCATGGGTCACCAGTGACCACAGGACTCCGGGGAATGAAGCAGCACAAGGAAGGAACAGGAAGGAGGG